TCCTTTATATAGGGCATAAAGAGAAAAACTTGTATTTATACTAGGTCAAGATTTTTTGTTTGTTCACTGGAAGTGCCATGCAAAGTTTCGTGAGCATCGGTGAATTCCTCAATGAGCTGGAATTTTTTAAGGTGGTCAGACGAATTGAACAAGCTGTAATAGATGGGTTTTTTCATTTGTTGTGTCACTTTTTCTTTTAAAAGTAAAACTTTTGATTAAAAGCGTATTTATTTATTTATTATTTATTTAGTTATGTATTTATTTGTTTGTTTGTTTGTTTGTTTGTTTGTTTGTTTGTTTGTTTGTTTGTTTGTTACTTATTTATTGCAATCCAGTGTTGCTTTGCGCTATTTGAAAAAAAATAATGACAACAATCCATCCCAAATGTTTCAGACGAGACTTTCGACTGTTCATCGCTGACCCCGTGAACCCAGAGAAGCCCTTCCCACAACCCGTCTTCTGGTTTAAACAAAACGTGCAGAAACTAGGGGTAAGTTCAAGTTGCACACAGGGACTGTTTCTGGCTGTTCCAACACAAAACTCGCGTTACAGCGACGTCAAATATCAAGGGAAGTAACACGTGCATCATTTTAAGTCGGTCCTCAACGTAGGTTGTTTTTCTTGGACTAGGATCCGGACTTTTTTGTTTTACTATATAAAAGAACGGGGCAGACATAATTCGTTTGCAAGCTGTTCAAATGTACTAAGCCTAGAAAGGAAAATGTTTTAAGAGAGAGCAATAACTGTTTCAATTTTTAAAATCAAATGTATCTACATTACGTCATTTGTCTTGCTTTTTTTACAATGTTTAAGAATTCAAATTTCGACAAAATGTTTCTCGAGCATATTGTGCAACATTTACGGCAGATTATAAAACTGCAATTAAAACAAAGTTTAAAAAATTAGGACTAAGTACATTTTAAAAGCTAGCCGTCGATGTGATATCAGAACAGCAGCAGACCAAAGGCAATGTTGTAGAACATGTCGAACCTTCGAACACAAATTAAAAAGACGACGCTGGACTTTTAAACGATTCATTTTGTCGAGTGCAGTTTTAAGTCGAGTATTAACAGGCATTATTTAATCCCCTTTTAATAACACCACGTAGATGAGCACCAGGGGAATTTTTATAGCCTCTCAGGGGTGGCGAAAGTGATCACTGGCTATAAAATGTGAATGTTAACAGTTGACATGCGCAGAAGTAGGCTAAAGCCTACATTATATATATTCAACATCTGGGTCTGTCTGCATGTTTCTCCATTCGGTTCAGCCAATTGTTTTAACGTTTTAACGTTGCAACCTCGGTGTAGCTTTATGAATACCTAGGCATCTGCAGATCTCTTTCGGTTCAAGGTTATTTCCTTTTCATACTGGGCTATGGTTTATTTATAAGTGACCTTAATCTACATTTTCAGCTTACTTACTGGTCAGTAATTTAGATCCTTGCTGAAATGTTCCAGATAGTAAAGTGCCATTAACTTTGATTCACACTTAAATGCTTCATGTACCTAGCCACCGTTAGTTCAAACCCTGACAATAACACAGCATAATTATGTAGCTTTGGTTCGCCATAACACCCGTAGCTTTACTGAACGTACCTGTCTGGGTGTTGTCAAGTGCAGCTTCCGCCCTGTATGTGGCCCACACTGTGTGTTCATTGATCCTTCCTGTTGGTCATTGCACAGAACAACAGATACAGTGTCATCTTTGACAACCCGCCTGAGGGATGGCTCGCCTTTCATATCCACGTGAGATAATGATGTTGCTCCTGTTTACGTTGTTATTGTTGTTGTTTTGGTTGTTGTTACGGTTTACATTGTTTTTTGGTTGTCCTTGTTTTGTTGTTGTTGTTGTTTGTTGTTTTTTGGTGCTGTTGTTGTTGTTGTTGTTGTTGTTGTTGTTGTTGTCGAAGATGTCGTCAGTTTTTGCTTCTGAAAACGATGCTGATGTTACTTAAATGGGCCTGGTGAACTCCGCGAAAAAATCGTCGAGTGAGAGCGAGGCTTTTTTTCGGCTCCATTGTCATTATACTCAGAGGTACCTCCACTCGTCCAAATAACTACATTCAAATAGATGATGATGATGATGATGATGATGATGATGATGATGATGATGATGATGATGACATGTGATTGCGAGTATCATTATTATCTCTAGGAGCATTTTCTCTCTCTGACCACTGATCACACATAGATTCAATGAAAAAGTTGCTTGCATCTTATGGACCTCAATATAGCCCCAATTTGATGGAAAGGATGGAGATATTGATTGTATGACGTCATTTAAAAACTGTAACAAAATCTTTGTACGTACTATTTCAAATACACGTAATATGTATCTGTGTTCAGGGACTATAAGCACTATGAGAAAAGTCCATATGGTGGAAAAATAGGTTAGGCTAGTGCCCGAATTACACAAGCGTTCATGTACTTCATGTAATGCTTTATAACAACTATTTATTTATAGCACAAGTGTTATTATCTTGAGGGGGGGGGGGATCTTCTCTTGTTCGTTTTGCTTTTATTTTACACTGTAGCAAAATTAGTTGACATTAGTTCTCTTTTTATGTTTTTGTGTCTGTGACAAAGGTACTTGAGTCTCAGTTGACTAATATCAGGAATCATTGTATATTAAACGACAATAAAATACTATGATATCCTCCGCTAGACTTATCAGTAAGGTCTAGAACTGATATAGATGTGCATGACGCACGAGTCTCGTCCAATTTGAAAACCAATAAAACCTGAAAGGTTAAGGAATGTGACCTTTTATATGCTGATGGCAGTGCTCTATTGTAACGTAACAAGACCAGTATGTAAGAATGTATGGACTTTGTCCCCAACGTATGTGACAATTTAGGGTTCACTATCAGCACAAAAAAGACTAAAGTCTTCCACCAAGGCTGAAAACTCACCAAACACCGCTCCCCCAGTCAACGAACTGCTCAAGGCAGTTGTATAATTTTAACTATCCTGGTAGTGCATGTTCTACTGATGTATGAATTGACTGATGCTGAAGTTACATGTGCATTCTGGATATGCAAAGCGCGTTCAGCATTTTGGTAATCTGGGAAATCAAAAGTTTGGGACGTCTATGGTAAAATACACAAATTCAAAACTCGGCGTGTACAGTGTTGTTGTATTTCCAACCCTTTTATTTTAAGCTGATTACTGATCGGTGTACAAAACTCATGTAAAAAAAAACTCAACATTTTTCATCTCGCCTGCTATCTAAGAAAAATATTTGCGATTCTCTGGAAGGGTAAGATTCCCGTCACCAAAAAACTTGTACTTGAGAGGGCGACAGCCGTAGTATCTTCTACCGCCTGAAAGAAATACAGCTGGCGAAGGCTGACTTGTTTAACAGTGTAATCAAAGTGAGGAAAAGAACCAGATAGGTCGAATGAGGCCCCACACGAAATGTTTCCCACAATACGGACGTAATCAACAAAATTTCTTGTTCGGGGAATGTTCACCGCCAAAATAATCGAAAGGATATCTCATTAAAATCTGTATTCCTTCTATGGGCAAAGCGTAATTATAATCTTTTAACCTGCTGTAGGATTAATGGTCCCAAGAGGTTTTTTTTTTCAAATTTCATTAGTAAATTTAACTAAAGACGTGAATACACAAATAGAAGACAAAAAAGCAGTGGTGACAATAACACACATGTATTTATCAATTTATATTATGATTTTTTAAATGGATTTTTTATCTAGCCTTTTTCGACCAGGGCCCAATATAATCATGTTATGACCTGATCACAGGGTGGTAAAAAGTCGAGAAAAAAAAAACAGCATTCACAGTCACAGCAGTCATAAGATTATTAGGAGTTAGTACCCCTTACCTTTTTAAGGTAGACTCAACCAGGTTAATTGTGAGGTTACAAAATCATTGCTTGTGACTGCTTATGAGAGTGGACAGAGAGGGGTGAACAGAGTATTTATATGGCAAGCAAACTGTTTTTGAGTGTTGTGCACAGTACTCATTGGTGATATCTTGGGGGTCTGTTTAAATTTAAAAGACAAATGTTTATTACGGTGTGTGGGGGATATTGACTGCGACGATGTTCCCAAATTAAGGAAAGGAAGCAGTGATTATTTGATTATATACATGGGTAGATGCCTCGCCCCTGACTACTACTACTACTACTACTACTACTACTACTACTACTACTACTACTACTACTACTACTACTACTACTACTACTACTACTACTACTACTACTACTACTACTACTACTGCTGCTGCTGCAGCAATGTACTCCTGCCCTCCCCCCCCCCCCCCATTTTTCATATGTTTTTTCCTCTCCCCTCCCCCCCCTGTGCTTGGTTTATAATCACACCTCCATCTTTGTGCCCCTACCAGGCAACTTTCCCAGGACCAGATGACAGCGTGTTCGAGTTCACCACAGAGAATATGATTATCCCCAATTACCTGCCGTTCCCGGACTGCCACAATGACACTTGCACGGGGACGCTAGTCTGAAGCGCTTCATCATAGAAACCTCTGTTCTCGTAGCGTTAACTGTTTGGAGCCTGATGGTGATATCAACCTTTGATACTGAGTGGTTTAATGTCTGTTCCGTGTACTCTCAACCAGTTCTCTTCTATTTGCTTGCGCTCTGGTTGAGAATTAGACAGACGTACAAACATAATTCCAAAGTGTACTTTTCTGGTGTTGTTGTTTTTTAAATTTGTTTACTTTTGTTCTTGTTTGAGAAACGTAAAATGTGTCGAATCATTTGGGGATTTCTTTTTTGTTGCTGATTTGTTTATCCACCTTTTTGTTTGTTTGGTTGGTTGGTTGGTTGGTTGGTTGGTTGCTTGGTTGGTTCTTTTGTCGTTTGGTTGTTGGTTTGTTTGTTTGTCTGTTTGCTTGGGGGGTTTTGTTTGTTTGTTTGAGAATAAGAGAAATACACATTACATGTGTTTACCTGTTTCTTGGAATCCTTGTCATTTGGTCCCCTTTCACCTTGTTGAAAATTGTTTTTAGATATTGAAATCCTCTTTTTTTTATCTCCGTGTCACTGTGTATTGCGTCAGGTATACTTGTGCAACCAATGTATTTAAATCTGTTGACATGCTTTATTCATTTGTTCTTAGATGTGACGTTGCATTCTTGGAACTCATCACATTTTGAGATCACCATACATTCCGCTTTCTTAACATTCAGTCCTCTATTTTTGCTGTTCTCTGTTTCTGCAATTAGGGTCTCCTGGAGATTAGACTCAAAATCTAGACTGTGACTGTTTAAGTGTGTGCGTCTGTGTGTGCGTATGTGTGTGTGTGTGTGTGCGTGTGTGTGTATGTGTGTGTGTGTGTGTGTGTGCTCGCGCGCCTGTGCGTCAGTATACAGTTTTGTGTGTGTCTGTGTACATGTGTGTATTTGTGTGCGTGTGTGTGTGTGTGTTTGTGTGTCTGTGTGTGTGTGTGTGTGTGTGTGTGTTTGTGTGTCTGTGTGTGTGTGTGTGTGTGTGTGTGTAAAAATATTACGCTTAATACTCTGCAATGCCGAATGCCCTCAGAGGCTCGTAGAAGGTAGTCTGGGAATGAATCTGACAGGCAGTCAACTATTGAGAAATCATTTGTGCCTTCTGTCGGAGCCTTTTCGAGCACTTTTTGCATTTTGGTAAGTGTTTTACGGCGCTCGCAACTGCATAAATGAGGTCATGTGAGCGTGCAGGACACATTAAGGATTTCAGTTTGGTAGAAATTAGTTTTGAATGTTTCACGAATCCTACTCTTATCGATTTTAAGACCACCAAGGGATCTTTAACATGCGCAATTTGACACGGGGCCTTCGATATTTTTTCGCCCTTCTCCCAGAAGGCTGTCACATCCTAGGTATTTCATCTTCCCTACCCTATAATCAGACCCCCAGTTATAAAGGATCTTTCTTCGGTAGAATAGTGAGAAGAGAGTGGAGAACCACGTAACTGTCTGCCTGGGCTCCAATGTGTCACGACACGGAGGAATCGGGCGCCTATCAATGCTAAGTATAATGGAGTTATTGGTATCAAATAATCGTGTGTTCATTAATATTGTTTTTGATGAAAAGACGGATTCTTCTTTATTGAATAGACGTCGAATTATCAGTGAATGAAGGAGGTGTATGGTGTCTGGTGCAAAAGTAAATTAGCGACAAATTGATCACCTAATCTATTGATTTCCAAGGTTGAGTGTGCTAGGAAACTGCCCATTTGCATTTTTTGAAAGCTTTTTGGTGCCTTTAATCAACGTTTTTCTGTAAAAATCCGCGCAAAAAAACCTGTTTTAAATAGACATGAACGGTATTGAGCCAAAATTTAATTGATGAAAATTGTCAATATTTTGACGTGCGATTGATTTCACTACGATGCCACACAAATGGTTCCAATCCCATCATGTTTCATAATTATTTAGTGAGATGCCAACTGAGATTGCTATTCTGTAAATGTGGTGTGTTTTTTGTTGTTGTTGTTGTTGTTGTTGTTGTGTGTGTGTGTGTGGTAGCCTATCCGTTCGAAATGTTCGGAGCCCCGAAGAGTGTGCTCTTCGCCAGGGCCACCGCCTCCCTTGGGTAGCGGGTGAGGCAGTCCAACCTCCCTGAATCCTCCCCGAAGAGATGCCCCGCCACGGAGGCCCGGCGGTGGCATCTCTGCAGCCAGTGCTCCAAATCTTGGGGCTCCTCGCTGCACAATGGACATATTGGGTCCGATGTTTTGTCTATTCTATTTTTGTAGGCCCGAAGCCCAGAGAAATGAACGGTCATGATTTTTGCCAGTAATGACTGGTCACTGCGGGACATAATAAGAGCCTCTCGTTTTAAGATTTTTTGTTGTTGTGTGTGTGTGTGTGTGTGTGTGTGTGTGTGTGTGTGTGTGTGTGTGTGTGTGTGCGAGCGTGCGTGTGCGTGTGTGTGTGGGGGGGGGGGGGGGTTCACTCTTGCATTGACCATTGAGTGAAGTTGGGATGAGGTTAGAAGGGAGGGGGTGCCATTGGAAGGCCCAACATTTGTGTACTGGAAGAACTTCCAGCTGTTCCTGTCTGACGGGCTTTGTTTTCCAACACTAAATAAAAACTACTGTGAGAGCGTACACCTTTTAAATCAAACAAACATATAAGAACAAACAAACAAACAGGATATTGATACACGCATTTGTACGTAAATATAACACACATCAAGAGAATATTACGGTTTGCAATAATTCAATATAATTTATGACAAACAGGAGAGTGACAGAAAGTGGATACCAACCTGTCTAATTCAAAAATGCAGACACATGAACCCAGAAAGACATAGGCACCAATAAGTACACACACACACACACACACACACACACACACACACACACACACACACACACACACACACACACACACACACACACACACACACACACACACACATACATCAAATTCTAAAATCACGTACGCGTACAAGTTCAAAAATGCACATTCACAAATACGCATAGATGCTTTATACACACACTTATCAATGCACTCACGCTCAAATACCCCAGAGCATATAAACACACTCACATTCACACACACACACACACACACACACACACACACACACACACACACACACACACACACACACACACACACACACACACACACGCACACACTTCTACGTGCTTACAAAATATAATATAAACCCATAAATGGTTTCACCTGAAGAAACAAACATAGGCATTGCTCATTTACACACGCACACAAGTTAACGCAGTCAGCCTTGGTGTTCATAGAGGTAAACATAGTTAACACTGTAATTTTTCCACATTAATACATACAGCTACCTTGACTTGATATGTTCAGAATGAGATTGCAATGTTGTCTTGATGAGAACGAAAGAAAATGAAGTGGCTTTCTCACAAAAAGGAAAAATGTGAGATGAGATTTGGATTGTACCTGACAGGAGGGAGTGGGGAAGAGGGGGGAGAAAGAGAGAGAGAGAGAGAGAGAGAGAGAGAGAGAGAGAGAGAGAGAGAGAGAGAGAGAGAGAGAGAGAAAGAGAGAGAAAGAGAGAAAGACAGACAGACAGACAGACAGACAGACAGACAGACAGACAGACAGACAGACAGACAGACAGACAGACAGACTGACTGAGAGATAGGGAGAAAGAGAGAGAATAAGAGACACAATGTAGAAGATATGAACACAATTCTGGAATGTTGCGAATGCTTTTGATTTGGGGAAATAATTGGGGGGGGGGGAGGGGGGGTAAAGATTAACTTTGGGGCTCCTCTTGCAGGTGCATGGTTGTTTGTTCACTCTATAAATAAAAAGCTCCCAGACCGAAAGACGCAGATATGTCACAAGTTGAACGTAGTTATTGTTATACTAACTTCACGTTTCGTTCTTTCGTGAGTTGTCTCCCTGATAGAAGAATGAAGGAAAGATGTCTGAGACAGTAAACCAAATAAGTACAGTTTCCAAGGACCTGGTGGCCCACCTTTTGATTGTTGCACCTCCTGTTTGTCAGTATTACACCATGAAGTAATCAGAGGAACAAGTCGATAGTAACTACTCAACATAAGAAAAGGGAGGTGGGGTGCAGGTGAGAATAATCACTTTTGTTTTGCTTTGATTCCTTTCTTCGCTTGTTCTAGGGGCGGGGACTGTATTCATATCGTGAGCTCCAGAGTGCGAAGAGAAGATGAAAGTTCCTTGACATAATGATGGGGGGATGAGTGAACACAAAAAGGTTGAGGTCTCCGAGGCCGCCGTGTCGGTGGCTCTGGGCACCAGTGTGAAAATGTTGGATGTCTTTAGCCTCGTCTTCTCTTTCTGGGACATCTGTGAGGGAAAAACAACGATTAAAGTCAAAAGACATGATTATGGCTCGTACACACCAAACATCCACGCTCGTGTGGCATCGTGCATTCGTCCAACTCACAAACGTGTGCTCATTCACACCTATCATCCGTCTATTCGTAGGTTATCTAGCCTAGCGAGCTATATATATCAACATGGAAATGGAAGTGAGGACTGAGAACACAGTTCAGAGATTTCGCGATCTCAGTGCTTTCTTGTCACATTTCCATTTTTAATAACAGTAGAAGCAGTTCACAACAAAGAGTGAGCTTAAGAAGAAGTCACATTTTCACTGTTAGAAAAGGGAGATACGGCAAGAAAGCACTGAGGTCGCAGTTAGACAGCAAGACGCCCTTCCCAGTTTTTCAGAATGTAGTTTGGATTCCGATAAAGCCGACAAGGCCGATCCGAGCTTAAAGTCGCCTGCAGTCTGCCAGCTCTGTGTGGAGCAAGTTGGAAATCATAAGGGAATTTTTATAGCTATTGACGCTTACTGAGTCTGTCTCCGAAATCGGCGTTCTCTATGTTTTTGCCCTTAGGTTGCACTTTGCCTCGTGGTCCTCGTGGTTATTGGATCAGTGAGGGAGCGGTCAGTCACAACACGAGAGCAGATGGGTACCACACGCACGAACGACAACTATCACTACCGCATGAACACGAGTAGTTAGTAGGAACACAAAAAGAGCCCAGATAAGTAATAAATTCTTTCGTGCGTCTAACACACGTTACCACACGAACGCGTATGTTTGGTGTGAACGAGCCGTTAGAGATAGGTGTAAGGAAGAAGCAGAACTATGTCATTTGTACCTATCACAGTAAGGAGGTCTCGTGAGCACGTAGCGCACGTTAAAGATTCTTTGGTGGTAAAACATCGTAGAACAATAGACCGCCACTATGGATTTTTTTCAAAGTCATGACTTAAAAAATATCCCCATGACACCTGTAAAAATAGTGAACACACCCTTACACCTCCCATGACTCCAAGCTTTTTGACTGTCTACCCTTTGGAGCACGTGGGAAGTAATGCATATGTTCGGCACAATTTACCGATCGGCGTAATCTTAAGATTGCGCTGCGCGTTTTAATGATCGTATAATTGTAACATTCTTGTGAGCCTTTCAGTTTCAAATCCTAATTTTAATTTAAATTTTGATATTTTTACACTTTCGAAAAGATTATTATACGTGGATGTTCCTTGAAGTGTGTACAAAATAAAGATGGAAGTGAATTTTTAAAAAATCATTTTAAAAATATTGTGAACTTTGAGCTTGATACCTGGCATTGTATCATTCTCGTGGACTTTTCAATTTCAATTCTAATTTATTTTTTCACATTTTTACACTTCTGAAAATATATGAATGTTCCTTGATGTGGGTAAAAGAATAAAGATGGAAGCTGATTTTTTAACAAATTATTTTTAAAATATTAAATAAATTAAATGTACTTTGTGGACCTGGTTTGATACCCGGCATCGTTGTATCATTTTTGTGAGCTCTTCAAAAATATAAAATATAAATGCAATCTTCAAATTTCCTCTCAACTATAAGATCGTTAAACGCGCAGCGCAATCTTAAGATTGCCGCGCAGTTATACGATCGATTAAAGCGCGCCGATTGCTAAATTGCGTGGAACACATTATATACTTGAGCAATCTACTTCTTCTATGTTATGCCGTCTCAGGCAAAGCTGCATGCTGTTTTGGCTTTTATCACTCTGTATTCTCTTGCATAAAGCAAGAAAACAAACATAATTTATGAATAAACAATCAAGGTGAGCGCTATGAAACTCTTATTTCCAAAACAAACAATAAATAACTGCTAAAGCAAGCAAACAAATCCCTCTGTTCTCTCTGGCATATTATGAGAACACAAATTTTAATGAATGCCGAAACAATCAAACGAGGGACGATAATATTATGCTCAAACACAGAAGGCAGCTACGAACACTCAAACAGACAAACAAAGTCCACTGTACGCACTTGCGGCACGTGCATAAAACAAAAGGAAACTTTCAAACACGCAAACAAAGGGCAATATACTCCACGCAATTTCTGGATTAAACAATTAGACACACGCAAACAACTGGAAAACAGAACAAGACCTGTGTCTGTTGTGTAGCGGCAAAGCGCTTGTTTGTCGTACACAGGCGACCAAGTTCAATTCCCGAGTGCGTGGGATTTTTATCGAGTATCTCGGCCTCTCTGTTAGGATGTTGTAGGCTATTCTCTCTCAACTCGGATTGACCCTGACAGGCAAGATCAAAGCTTAACTCCTACCTCCAACATGATCAAAATTGCGTGGTTGGAGGAGTAAAATACACTTAATAATATAATGATAGTGTCACAGGCAGCGTGGTGGAATCAGGTGCTTGTCAAAATAATGAAAGTCAAGAAACTGGCATTTTCCACAGGTTGGGGAATTTTTGTCGAATTTTTGTTTTTTGGTTCAACACCTTTCAAGCCCTTTACAGAACACATTTCTGAGTGGATTTTAATGAAAAACGTTGATTAAAGGCATAGCAACTGAATTTTCAGTTTCCACGGACTCTCAAGCTAAGGAAATAACTTTGGAGGCCGTTTTCTCGCTCATTTTACCTCTGAAACCAGGCGACCCCCACCTACTTCAATTGCTAATATCTTGACTTGTATTCAAGATAAATGAATATATTTTTTAATCAAAAGCAAGGCAAATGGACAGGCGTTAAGATGATACCAATAAGTCCATATGCTCTAAAATTGACGAGAGCCTGATTCCACCGTGTCGTGACACAATAAACAAAGTACAAGGCACTCACTCGCAACAGGCAAGTCCCACGTTCAGCTCACACAGACACTCGTAACAGACGCCATCTTTGTAGGCCCAGATGAAATCTCCCTCTGCCATATAGGGCGGGTCCATGCCGGTGGGGCAGAAGTTCATGGGCTGACCTTCGCCATCTGAGGTCGGCATAAAAAAGGGGGTGGGGAAGGGAAGAGGGGAGGTGAGATTGAGAAACTGAGCTTGTGTTTGTGTGTGAGGGATGCAGGTGAGGGCGCATGTGAGATCTAAGTGAAGTATATGTAGGCTTGAATTTGTTGGGAAATATTTAATGGTATTATTTAAACGTAGTTCATAAAAAAATACCATCATCATCATCAACAACATAATATCATCGTTTTTGTGAGGTACGTGTTTTGGGAACTTTATGACATCATTAAAATATTCGAGGTTTCACCCCGTTCGAAATTCAT